CTTCCAGGTCTCTCAAGTGGCTGCAGGGTCCCAAAGTTTTGGGCCGTCCTCGACTGCTTTCCCAGGCCACAAGCAGGGAGCTGGATGGGAAGTGGGGCAGCCGGGATTAGAACTGGCGCCCATATGGGATCCGTTGCGCTCACTTAGGGCGTGAATCATCAGACGGAAGATCTTCTTCTCTGTCTCTCCACTCTGTCTATCCGCCTTTCCAATAAAAAAAAAAAAAAATCTTTTTTTTAAAAAAGGGCAAACCAGATGGCTACATTTCCTTTTCTATTAACCGAGGAAACAAATTCATTACCGTTCTGAATATACTGGATGCCTACGGAGTTATATAAAGCATGGCCAGAGCAGGCAGTGAAAACACAGCTAACATAGTACAGTCTCCAACACGGTCTAAGTTGGCATCGCTAGGCAGGCAGGGAGGGCTTGTTATCTGGAGGGAGGAGTCAGAGACGAGAGCAGAGTGGCTGGAGGCAGAGTGCTCCTTTCGCTGTGTGCTGTGACTCCTGACCCGTGCAGCTTCTCAGAGCAAGGCTCGGACCGTGTCGATTGAATTCAAGGGCAAAGTCTGAGGAATCTGCAATTGCTTACATTTTAATTAAAGCTTGAGAACAGAAGAGTCTTGAAGAAGACTTCATGTGGGGAACCATGAAGGAAGGGCAGGCCCTGGAATCAGGCAGACCTGGGCCTGAAGTCGCTTGCCGTCACTTGCTAGTGAAGTGACTGAGAAGGAATATCTCTGAGTTTGACTTCTTGGCCTTAAAAGCCCATCAGGCAGCTGAAGGACTCGTTGTGAGCTGGAGACTTCGGGATGCCCAGAGGTGGCCTGGTGTGGAGCTCTGGCAGTGTGGACTTCACGGGGGAGGTGAAACTGCTCTGATGGCACTGTTCACGGTAGACAACTTCAAGATACAGTGCACCAAAGTACGATACAACGCAGCTGCTCTCATGGAGCGTGTCTCTTACTAAAAGTGGGAATCTAGGCAAGTTGTTCAGTGCTGCTTTTGAGTTTAAACTCCCCCAGCAAGCAAAATAGGAATTCTGAATGACAAGAATTGTTGGGAAAGCAGAATATGCTAGAAGCAATGGGTGTAGATTTGTTCCATGTGCTAAGTAGTACTGTAAGAACATTGGGTAGACTAGCTCATTTGTGTACTTAGCATGGTTCCTAAGACACAGTCACCATAAAAAAGTAGCTACTGAAGCATGTTTCCTCTGATAGGTAGCAATTGATATAGACTTAAAAAGAAGTGTAAGAATAAAATTATGTGACTGTCAGTATTAGGTCTAGTTTATACTCCTGTGGAGCTGTGGTCTTCCTAATTTTACTTGTTTGAATATTACGGTTCATGGTGAATTAAACCTGTGAACATAGAATGGACTAAAATTGTGTCTGCAGAAAGAGAGGAAGAGTGAGGGAAGTGTGACTGTGACAGTCATTAAATCTGTGCTGTTTGTTTTTAAAAGGTTTATTTATTTTTTTGTCACAAAGGCAGATTTGCAGAGAGGAGAGACAAAGAGAAAGAACTTCCAACCTCTGGTTCACTCCCCAAGTGGCCGCAACAGCTGGAGCTGAGCCAACCCAAAGCCAGGAGCCAGGAACCTCCTCTGGGTCTCCCACACGAGTACAGGGTCCCAAGGCTTTGGGCCGTCCTCGACTGCTTTCCCAGGCCACAAGCAGTGAGCTGGATGGGAAGGAAGCTGAGCAGCCGGCACTCAAACTGGTGCCCATATAGGATCTTGGGCACCTGCAGGGTGAGGATTTAGCCACTGAGCCATTGCACTGGGCATTGTTCTGTTTCTTTTAATGAAACCTTAAAAATTGTATGAGTGGAGGAAGAATTAGCATGAGAGAAGAGAATATCTTGTTACACAGATGAGAAGAATACGAAAAGTGTTTCAGAATTTCTGGAAGTGATGATGTGGTTCATTAGCCAGCCTAAGATGCCCCAAAGGGCAGGCATGAATTCCTATTTTTCAGGTTTGTGCCTCTCTGAGTTTGGGAGGAAGCTACTGAAATTCCAGGGCATACCAAAAAAGGGATGGTTGGTCATACTGTGCAGCATGCAAACTTAGGTTGTCTCCGCAGTTTCTCCGAAGGAACGTGGCTGCAGCTTCCGTACGAGGCCACAGGTGAATGACCCAGTTTGGAGAAAGCTTGGATCTCCTTCCTACTCACGGTGCTTGAGTTTGGTTTTTGCACAGTGTTGATCTAACGGAGGTGAGCAAGTATGTGGCTGTGCTCCATTTTAGTAAGGGATTGCCTCTCTGTCGTAAAGTCTTTCAGTTTCTAAATTTATGAAACTCAAGTTTCCAGAACCAGAGAAATGGCAAATAATTTTGTAAAATAAACCATTGGCCTTGGACTCATATGCGTGGATGAAAGAGAAGCAGAAAGAAGTATCCTTAGTGTTGAAAATGGTCAGCCACTGCTTATTTTCCTTGATACAGTTCGATACTGATTTGGGGTGAAGGAGATATAATTGTTTTGGCTATTCGGAGTGGGATGCCAGCGGTAAGCCCTTGGCATGCCTTGCAGGTGGCTAGCAGGTACCCAGTAGACGGATGCTATCACATTGCTGTTTGTCAGTCGCAAGTTTCATTCAGAAGACTACTTACTGAGATGCAGTTACATGCAAAGCAAGGGTGAATGCAGATGTTTCTGTCATAAAAACACCCAAGATTATGAATCCTAGAATTGCCAACACCCCACTGGGACCTAGGAAGGGGCTTGTGCAAGTGTACAGTCTTGAACTTTAGGCTCCAAGTTATGGTGACTCTCTCAGCTGGACCTCTTTTCTGGATTTCATTATTTTAGGGAATAGTGTTTTGTGTGTGTGTGTTTTATCATTGGGTCCTCGACTGCTTTCCCAGGGCACAAGCAGGGAGCTGGATGGGAAGTAGAGCTGCCGGGATCAGAACCGGCGCCTATATGGGATATGGGATCCCAGCGTGTTCAAGGTGAGGACTTTAGCCACGAGGCCATGCTGCCGGGCTCAAGTGTTTTTTTTTTTTTTTTAACTTATGAAAACCCCAGTCATTGGTTGTAAGATTACTGGCACCTTCCCTGGAAAATGTGATTTTGAGCAAAGCAGCAATGGACTTGCTTCTCAGGGTGGCAAATGTTTCCTGGAGCCAATTTGTCTAATAAAAGGATCTCACTGAATGAGGCCAGCTCCCAGAACACACTCGGTGGATTGTAACTGTTGCTGGATTGTAACTGTTGCAACAGTCTTTGGAAGCAACTGTGGGTTAGTAACATAAGATTACATAGAAGAGGGTCTGGTGTGGTAGCCTAGTGGCACCTTGCACGTGTCTGGGATCCCATATGGCTGCCGGTTGTAAACCTAGCTGCTCCAAACGGCTGAGCATCCAGCACCCTGATTGTGGCCTGGGAAAGCAGTCAAGGAAAGTCCAAAACCTTGGGACCTTGCACCTGTGTGGGAGACCCAGAAGAAGCTCCTGGCTTCGGATGGACAGTTCCAGCTGTTGTGGCTGCTGGGGGAGTGAACCAGTGGACAGTGAATGGAAGATCTTTCTCTGTCTCTCCTCTCTTTTTTCCAATGAAAAAAGAATAACAAAATGAATCTAAAAAAGAAGAAAGATTACATAGTAGAATCGGTTTCCAGTGTCGGCTAGCTCTGTTTTTCTTGGTTACCATGAAGCGAATGCTTAGTTAGGTAACAGAAACTTGACAAATGAACCAGTGCCTCTTCCACTGTGCAGTCCCTCACCCTGTATTCTTATTATTTTTTTTTTTAAAGATTTATTTTTATTATTTTTTTATTGGAAAGGCAGATATACAGAGAGGAGAGACAGAGAGGAAGATCTTCCGTCCGATGATTCACTCCCCAAGTGAGCACAACGGGCCGATACTATGCCGATCCGAAGCCAGGAGCCTCTTCCGGGTCTCCCACGCGGGTGCAGGGTCCCAAAGCTTTGGGCCGTCCTCGACTGCTTTCCCAGGCCACAGGCAGGGAGCTGGAAGGGAAGCGGGGCTGCCGGGATTAGAACCGGCGCCCATATGGGATCCCGGGCGTGCAAGGCGAGGACCTTTAACCACTGTGCCACCACGCCGGGCCCAACTCTTATTTTTTTAATCCCTAAATTTACTTCTATAAAATGGCCAGATTTTGCCTGAGGCTTAGGAGTGTAGAGTTACTTTGCATCTCATCTCCTTATCCCCCATTTCCCCGAGTTTTTGCAATAACGTGGTTCATTTTCCCTTCCCAGTCACAGGTTCAACACTCTGTTAGAAAACAGAGACCAAGAACCAAGAGACCAGAAGCCCCAAAACTGCTAGTATAAACAGAACATATCCACCACATTTCCCTATTTCACAGGTTTTTGTAAAGGTAATATATCACTTCATGATCTGGGCAACTTTGGCTTAGTTTCAGAGATTCCTTTGCATTCTTACTGAAAAGCAAGTGGCCCTACGAAAACACCAGACTCTTTTGCTCTCAGAGGAATTTGTGTTAGACTGTTTACAATATACACATATGACGTTGACTGCCTTTAAACAGTGGATGGATAGGAATTGAAGTTAAGTTCCGAAGTGCCATTCCAAGGATCCGTGCTTGGATGCCTCAGTGCAGCATTGTCGGAGTGGTGACGGCAGTGCTGATTTGAGTATTAGCTGCTCCGTGCCTTCCATGGCCCTTGCCAAAAATTGGAAAGCACACCGTGTTTCCTGTTGCCCAAGTGTCTCAGGCACTTTAAATCTCGATTTCCTCATTCGAATAAAAGACTGAAACACGTGTCCCGCCCACCTTCCTCTCTACCTGACTCTCCCCACCTGAATCAGAGGCCCCTGTGGCTGTGCGTTCCTCTCCACTGTGGAAACGGTGTTAAAAATACAATTGAAAAAGCACGAAGGCTAGGAGCAGTCTTTTCAGAGTTTATATAGAGAGTGCTTAATACCAAGATAGCCGTAACTGTATAAAATTCCACCACGTTAACTGTTTTTAAATGTGCTTCTGTTCGATTTGACTTACATGGTGTGCAGGAACTGCATTCCGTGCCACGCCTGAAACGTCCCGAAGTTCAGTTCTGTGAGTAAATTGCAACCAAGATTTCTACCAAAAAAAAAAAAAAAAGTCACACAAGTTAAAGATGATGATGAAGAAGAAATATATTTTTAAAGAATATTCTTTTTTTTTTTTCCCAGCGTGGAGTCTCATTTACACAGATGCAATGTCACTTCCACACTTTACACAGGAAAGAAAACGCAGGTGCAGGCAGTCGTGACTTGCCCGGGTGCCGGTGACATTTAGGGACAGTGTCTTCCGGTGCAAGTGTGACATCAGCTCTCCAGATGCCAGCAAGGGTGCACAGCTGCCGAACGGCTGAGCAGCCCTGCTCTGTAATGATGCACTCAGACCCGGGTATCTCACACTATCCTAGTGAGAGACTAAAAGGACCCGTTACGTCATTTTAGTAATTTTCCAATAAAGAAATTTAAAGTAGGATTTTAACCGTACTGTAAAGTGAACAGCAGGGTATTTTTACCAGTGAGATTTAGTAAAATTCTCTCTATATAATGAAATGGTAACTTACATAAACTGCAAAAAAGGGAATGGCGCAAATGCACGTCTTTCGATGGATTCTATTTTGTTGCAGGATAAATCTCTAGGAAAGAGGAGCGTTTTGATTAGATATTGCATAGCCAGTCAGGAATAATAATAATAAATTTATATTTGACAATGTTGAATATGCAGTTTTTTTTCCTAAACACCAAAGCTTTGGACTTGTATTTGAACCTTACGAAGGTGCTGACCCTCTGTCTTACCCTCTCCTAACGATTTCACTTTTAGGAGCTTCATAAATATACAACTATAGGTCAACTTAGATTTTGAAGGCAGACTTTTCTGAGAGCAGAAGAATTGATCAGATGGCCTTTCACAGCCTTCATCGATTCAAATCGTGAGCTCAAAGTTATCTCTCACTAATTTCTAATATTTCGAAAGGAATAGTCTCACGTTTTTTTACATCTTCCCTGGTTTAGTTCTGTTTTTCTGACTTACCCGGTACCAGAAAAGAAAAAAAATATTCTTTCAAATAATTCGAAAGCAAAATATCTCCCCAACTCACTCATGACTTTGAATTGAGTGACATGGCGGAATTATAGGCGCACAAATGATAAATTAGAGAATGATGCTTTCTAGTATATTAAACTTATTTTGGTTTGTTATTACTTGACATGCCCTGAAAGCAGTTTAATTGTACAGTGATAAGACGTCAGAAAATGACACAGAACTGGATTCCTACTTGAGAACACTGACCCTTCGTCCCGGCGCCCTTGTTTCTGCCGATTACCGATGGTTCCTCACTTTTCAGCTGATTGACAGTAGCTGTCATCCTGTGGGGTCTCCGTTTCTAGAATCCCCTTTTCTACCCCCTGATCTCAGCCCAAAGGCCGAGAAGTGATAGAATCTGCTTTCCTAATCACCGGTTGGGCTCTCTGGTTGCAGCATCATCTAGGTTCTTACTGAAGATGCAGTTCTCGGCCCTATTCTAGATGGACTCAAGCTGCAGTCTTGGGGGTGGAGTTCAGACCCAAGTTCTGACAAGCTCTCCAGGTAATTCTGATGCAAGCTCCAGTTTGTTTTAGAGCACTGTTGTGATAACATACTTGCCCCTTGGTGACTCCTGTGCCTCGCTAGCATCCACGGTTCTGGGTGCCGTGGCTTCAAGCTCCTGCTTTCCCTGCTGGTACTCTACAGGTACTCATGCTGTCCCTTAAAAACTTGCACGTATTTCTCCTTTCTCTGTCTGATGATACCCAGTAGCCCTTAGAGGTCCTGTTCAGCGGGCCATTCTCCCCGGCCCAGTTAGAAGTCTCTTCTGCTCTTGGGTTGTAAAAACAATCTGTGCCCCTTTGGCTGCTTAACTATTACTTTCGCCTCCAGAGTGTCAACTTCTTGCAAACATGGAGCTGTTTTTGCTCATCTACATTGCCCGCTGCGTTTAACACCGACTTACAGAAAGAAACTAAACCCAGGCGTTTGTAAAAAAAACACACGAGTAGCTGAGGAGTCAGTATAATGAGGAAAAGTGACTTTTTTTTTTTTTTTTTAAAGAATTTGGGTTTCTTATTTCATGGTCCCTCTGCAACACTTTTCCCACACTTTCTCATCCACTGAGTGTTGTTTGGGTCTTGGTTTGAGCATGTATTTTTGTTCTCTCTGCAGAATCGTGATCTCCTAGGAAGGCGGAATCTGTCTCACTCACTTGCGTTTCATCAATAGTATGAAAAGTCCTTGACAGACTCTTAGCTTTAAAAACAAAAAATTGATTGGCATTTTAGGAGTGAGGCGTACCATAAAATCATGTGCTTACAGAGAATTTTCTAGAAGCAGCACTGGAAATTCTAGTACTTGGCAGTAGCCTCATGGATTTTTGTCCAGCCTGTAGGGTTTGGAAGCCCGGATGGCAGAGGCCCGGATGGATTTGTCTCACTAAGACCTAGACGTTCTGATCATTCAGAGGATGACGGTTAGTATCATGTCAGGTTCTTTCCACCTACCCTCCGTAAGCCTTGTGTGTTTGAAAGAAGGATCTGTTTGCCAAAGGGGACCGGTAATGAGCCCACTAAGATTGGATGGCGAAGAGACGCCAATATGATGAACTGTTATTTTAGTATCTGTTTTCAGTATGACTACTGAAATCCTGAACACCAGTCTGTTCTCCTGGTGGCTTAATATTCTTGATGATAGTATTTCTGCAGTTCACCTGCTTGGCACATCAATCAGTCGTTCAAGGTTAATCTGCTGAACATTGTTTCATTCCCTTTGCTGTATTAGTCCAGCCTGTTCAAACCTGTTTTTGTAAAGGCCAGATGGTGTTTGTGACTTTTTGTGTTATGTGTTGTCCGTTACATCTTCTAGTTTCTTTTTTTTTCTTTACGATTTCTTAGAAATGTACAAATCATTCTTAATTTGTGGCCAATAGAACAACAGACCTCAGATCGGATTTCATCCATGGGCCATCCGTGAAATATAAATATCATCAGTCGGTGTATGGATATTTGTGCTAGAGGCCATATGATTCTTAACAACTATTCATATCACGTTCTCCTATAAAGGAAGTGTTTTTCTGTTTCTTATCTATGTCACTTTGAAAATGCAAAGTGTATGGTAGGTATGCCCCTCTAGAGATGATGCGATACCCCGTAGCACAGACTTACAGGTGAAACTTCAGAGAACATGCAATTCAGACCTGTGTTTATTTCTTACATAATAAAGCTAAAATCTCCTAAGTACGTAACGACCAATTAACTTACAAATGCTGGATGGATATCAGACCTTCAAATGTGTCCTCATGTAACTCAGTCAGCTCGTTGTCACTGAGGATTCTGGAAAACAAAAAAGACGTTTCGGTATCCAAATGAAAGCTCGCTGCAGCTGTTTGCTTTCTAGGAGGAACTGCGTCTGTAGAGGAAGCTTTGGTGGAAGTGCTGCCTTCCTGTCCTAAATTAGGGTGAGCGATGTCTGCTTTAATTCAGGCTTTTCTCAGATTCTCTCTTTTTGGTCCATTTTTTCATGTAACACACACACATGCTATCCACCCTTCCCACCGAATCATATATGTAATGCCACTCTGGAGCTTGTAATGTCTGTGTCGGAACATGATGAGAGGTGCTGCCCAGTTCCTTCTCTTTTTTCCCAGCCTCACTCCCTTAAGTCCCACGTGTAATGTGTGCCAGGGCCGCAAGCTAAGGCAGACTTGAATGGAATACTACTCAGCTATTAAAAAAAACAAAATGCAGTTCTTTGTGGCTAAATGGGCACAACTGGAAACTATAATGCTAAGGGAAATGAGCGAATCCCAAAAGATTAGATACCACATGTTTGCCTTGATTTAACCTGTAATTTTTGTTTGGTTGTTTGTTATTTTTTGAACCTGTCATTGATACTGTCTCAACCCAGATGTTTCGAAAAATGGAACTTGCATTATTTTTAACATATTGTTTACCCAATACTATGTCAATTAATTCCATAATGTTGTATATTGATACTGAGGCCTTGTTGGGGCTTTTAACTGACCGGATCTTTACTCTGTTAGACCTATCTTCAGACCATAGAAGGTCTCCCCAAGAGGCCACTGAACTTATCTGGACAATAAGACACTGAACTTTATGCTAGGCATGTGTTTGCAAGCAATGAATCTCAACTGAACTTGAACTATGGTTATGCAGCAAGGTGGAGGAATCCACCATGGGGGGAGGGGTATGGGGAGGGGTGGGGGGAATCCCCAGCGCCTATAAAACTGTACTACATAATACAATGTAAGCAACAATAAAAAAAAAAAAAAAAAGAAAGGCAGCGATGATGGCTGTGTACTTGGATCCTTGTCCTCCGTGTTGGAGACCAAGGTTAAGTCCAGGCTCCTGGCTCTCACCCAGTCCCAGCCACTACAGACATCTGAGGAGTGAACAGGAAATCCATTGCCCGATTGCAGCATTTTCACTTGGCACTGGGATATTAGATTAAGGAGAAAATTTATCTCTAGTCATAATCCTTCTTCTTTGTTATATTTTTTGTTTTTATTAAAAAATGATTTCTGACTTCTCTATGCAAGTTGAACCAATGATGTGACATACAAACTCTCATGAAAAGTATCAGTTAATTGGTACAGATTTTAAGTATTTTTTTTCCACAGTTATGTATCTAAACTCATTCCTTTCAAAAATCAGTAAGAAAATGATAAAACAATCCAGTAGAAGGACAATGGACAGTGACCTGAAAAAATAGGAATTTTTAATAGGTAAAAGCATTCAGTTTATGTGTAATCAGACAAATCCAAATTCAGATGGGACCCCTTTGTTTGCCTGTCATGTGAGCAGAAGATGGGGGAGTATCCAGTGGTAAAAGGCTGAAGAGTTAGTGTTGTGGCACAGCAGCTTAATCCACCATGTGAAATACCTGGGCTTCCTATGGACGAGCCTGGTTCAGGGCTTGGCTCCTCTGCTTCTGAGCCAGCTTCCTGCTGATGTGCCTAGGCTGTAGGTGTCAAGCACCCAGGTGCCTGATTTGCTGCCATCCATGTGGGAGAACCAGAATCAAGTTCCTGGCTCCCGGCTTTGACTGTTTTAGACATTTGGGGAATGATTCAGTGGATGAGATAGACCCATTGATTGACTGACTCATTCTGTCTCAACCTTTCTGTGCTGTTCGCATCCTGCCCCCCTCTCACAAATAATCTTAAAAACAAAAACAAAAATAAAAACAAAAATGGAGGGGGTTGGAATGATGGCTCAACCGGTTGATCCTCTGCTTGCAAGCACTGGCGTCCCATTTGAGTGCCCATTTGTGTCCCAATGCTTGACTTCTCATCCAGCTCTCTGCTTGTGGCCTGGTTTCCCAGCAGCGAACGGCCCAAAAACCCTGGGACCCTGTACCCAAGTGGAAGACCCGGAGGAAGCTCCTGGCTTAAGCCTCAGCTCTGGCCATTGCATCCATTTGGGGAGTGAACCAGCTGATGGAAGATCTTCCTGTCTCTCTTTCTCTCTGTAAATCTGCCTTTCCAATAAAAAGAATGAAGGGAGCTGAGTAGCATTATATTTTGTTCCCTGGGCTCTAAGTGGGCACAGCTTTTCTGAGGGCAATTTAAATTTCATGTTTCCACAGTCTTCATCTAAACTATTTACTTTCGAGACATCCATTTTGCAAAAGTGCTTGTATCCCAAATCTGGAAGCAGATACTCACAGTTTCTCAGCCCAGCGGTATGCTTTCCATACATTTTCATCGATGGAAGAAATAGAGTTTCCTTGGAAATTTCTGGAAGGGAGCACAGTTGATGTCCTTGAGTAGGTAGGAAAAAAAAAAAAAAAACAACCCATAACAGGCCAAGGGAAAGAATCGTGGCAACCTCAAGGGGAACATTTAAATATAGAAGATGCTGTCAACTTTTCTATAAATACCAGCACTTGTAATTCCCGTGGCTCTCTGTCTCCCAGGTTGCTCAGTTGATAAATAATATAGAGCCACTGGCACAAGAACTGAGGCGTCGTCTCAGAAGCTCATCTTCCTTTCCAGTCTCTTGTGCAGACAGTGGTAGTAGGTTACCATCGGACATTAAGGATTTTTTTTTTTCAAAACCCCTTTAGTTCTCTAAACTTCTAAAAGCCAGTAAGAAAATTATCATCCAGCTGAAGTGGGCAGAATTGATTGTTACAAGTTAAGAATAATGAAGCCCTGTGGCAAGTACTAGCGATGCTTTGGCCATGTGTCCTCTGCTGGAATCTCTCCAACGATTGAATGAATTAAACAGTTAAAAATTGGAGGTGGGGGTTTGTGGAGACCCAGTGTGGTAGCCTGGCAGCTAAAGTCCTCGTCGTGCGTGCACTAGGATCCCATATGGGCGCCAGTTCCTATCCCAGTGGCCCTGCTTCTCATACAGCTGCCTGCCTGTGGCCAGGGAAGGCAATCAGGGATAGCCCAAAGCCTTGGGACCCTGCAGCCACCCTTGTGGGAGACCCAGAAGAAACTCCCGGTTCCTGGCTTCAGATCAACTCAGCTCCAGCCATTGCAGACACTTGGGGAGTGAATCAGCAGATGGAAGATCTTTCTCTGTCTCTCCTCCTCTCTGTATATCTGACTTTCCAATATAAATAAATCAATCTTAAAAAAAAAAAATCAGAGGGGACCCTGCACCCACTGGGATCCTGTGTGGGCGCTGGTTTGTATCCAGCTGTTCCACCGCTCATTCTGCTCCCTGCTTGTGACCTGAGAAATCAGAAGAGGAGGGCGTTGGCACTCTGTACCCACGTGGGAGACCTGGAAAAAAAGCTGGCTTCCGAATGGCTCAGCTGCAGCCATTCTGGCCATGTAGAGAACGAAGCAGCGAATGCAAGATCTTTCTGTCTCCCCTTCTGTCTGCAACTCTGTATTGAAATAAAAATAAGCAAATCTTTATAAAAAGCAGAGGCACTAATTGCTGCTGTGGAAGGTCTTTCGGAATGTGACATAGGGGAAAAGGGCCAATCACGGAGCCACGAGTGAGCACCTCCTTAGGAACAAAACCAAAACGTGAAAGGAGATCAGAAGGAAGGACACACACAGCAAAAACAGTAACCTGAGTTACTCTCCAGGTGACAGACTCTGGAGGATGGGAGAACCAAGGCTACGGAGGATTCAGATTGTCATATTTTATCATATGTTCTTTGTGCTTTTGGGGAGTGTGTCCCTACATACATTTGAAAGAGTCTACTGAACTCCTCACCGTCTTTACTTTCATCTCTGTCCCAGCATTCAGGGAATGGTGGATGAGCCCTCTTTTTGTCTTGCTGATTCTCAAATCACTCTTTCTATAAAACCATTTAAATAAAAACATTTAAAAAAGGAACATAAAATTTAAAAAAAAATCCTCCTGTTTCAGAGTTATCTTTCTCTTGCTCAGCAACTTGTAATGACTCTCCAATTCCTCATGAGCCTTAACCTTGACAGCTGGTGCTCAAGACTGTTCATACAGTAGCTTTGTTTTCCGAGTGAATCCTTCGTAGTCAGACTGCCTTCTATATCTTGTTCATCCCATCATACAGCCCTTGCTCAATCTGGACTCCCTGTCTGACCCTATTTAACAAATGAGAGCCATGTTTTAAGCCCCAGGTGAAGTTTTAGATTATCCGTGTGCTCTGTCTGTGGCACCTACAGTACCCTGGCACAGAATGGCTGCCAGAGAGACAAGGTTGAACTCGGGCTGTGACGAAGGGACTGAGTAACAGTAATATTTATCACCAGTTAACATTCACATGTAGGTGACATAAGTATTTGTTTGCTCATCTAAACATCTATACTAGTTTAAGGAAATGATAACTGCCAGAACCAATCTTCCAGCTGAGAAAATTGAACTGTATCTGGACAATTTTCCCAGTGTCCCAAAGATAATAACCGAAAGATCTGTGTTCGAGAACCAGACAGCCTGATTCCGAAAGCTGTCCTTAAGAACGATGCCTCAATTCTATTAAGTTAGGTTGAGGGGTGTGCATGAGAGTAGGAGTGAGACATTGAAGCGATAATATGGTGAATTTCAGTAAGCATTGGTCAAGAGAGGGAGTAAGGGCTGCAGAAGAGGTACATGAGTAGAAAGAGGAGGAAGATAAGAAAAGTTGACAAGCAAAAAGTTAAAAAAAAAAAAAGTCAGTGTAGGTTGGGGACATGAGGTAAGCCCAGGCAGAACCTGGGGAAAAGGCTGCCATGACAAGCAGGATCTAGGGAAATATGAGCAAAGGTAATTCTTACAAGATGATGAAAGTGCCATTATAGGTGCCGGCCTCCGGTACGGGAACTTTGCTGAGCTTCTGCGTTGGACTGAGACCAACACATGAAAGAGTCCCATCTTTGCAGCTACATATCTCACATAAGTTTTTGGTGGTGTTCTGTTGCTTTGGCACGTATGCAGTGTTTTCTGGGATGTAATTTACAGGAGATTGAGCTGTAGTAGGTTTCCCACTCAAAGGTTGTCCTGTGACTTTAGGTAGATTTGGGCGCTGAGTCTGAACCTTATCTGAATGTTGACCTGCCGTTCTCTTCAGGTTTGTATTAGGTGCTGGAGTTCCGGTAAGCTCCGTATTTAAAGGCTGAATTATGGCACTGGGTGATACCGAATGCTGAGCCTGATCAGATGCTGGTTTTGGAACGGTCATCTCATTATTTACTGGGGATTGAGTGGAAACCTTTTGCAGTTCTGGAGGCTGAGTTAGGGTCGTCTGCACGTTTGTAAAAGGCTTAACCTCTTTGGTATATTGTGGGATGATGGTAATTTGCAGGTCCAGAGGCTTAACTGTGGCTTGTGGCGGGTTTGTGTGCTGCGTCTGAATTTGGTCTGTCTCTGGAAGTGTCACCTCTGGGTATACTGGAAAAGGATAAGGAGATGTAGCCGTCAGGTCTGTGGAATGTTCAGGCTGTGTAGGGGTTACGAGAATTTCTAGCTTCAAAGGTTCAAGTTTGGCACTGGGTGACGCTGGATTTTGAGTTGGACTTTCACTTGTTTTTGGAACTGCTATTTCATAAAAAACCGGAGGTTGATATGCCACTTCAGTAGGCGGCTTTGGAGACTGAGCTGTAGTTTCCTGCATTGTTGAATGTGGTTCCCCTTCTACGTTGGGTTCTGGAGTTAAGGTAAGTTCTAGATCAAAAGGCTGAACTGTGACTTCTGTCAGGTTTGGGTGCTGAGCCTGAACTTGGTCAGGTTTCGAAAGTGCTGCCTCCTGGGACGTTGGAGAGGGTCCTGTAGTCATCTTCAGGGTTATAGAATGGTCAGCTTTCATAACGGGTTTTGGTGTTATGCTAAGCATTGTGTTCGAAGGCTGCACTGTGGTTGGATATTGGGTTGTACCTTCTTTAGGGGGTTGCATCGAAGCCTCTTGCATGTTTGCAGAGGTTTCAGTCGCCATACTGTTGGTTTCTGGAGTATTTTCCAGGTCCAAAGGTTGAGTCGTGGCTAGAGTTAGATTTTCATGTGAAGCGTTAGTCTTGTTCAGCGTTGCAGGCTGCTCAGCCTCTCCAGGAGGTTCTGTGGTATTAAGTGATGGCTTCAAAGATTGAATTGTGACATAGGATGATCCTGAAGGTTGAGCTTGATCCCTGCCTGCCGTTGGAGCTGTTACCCCTGTAGGTGCTTCTGGGAGTGGAAGTGGGGTTTGCTGCATTGATGTGGAAAGTTCTCCCTCTGTAGTGGGTTTCGGAGTTACAGTAAGCTCTAGATCCAAAGGTTGAAATGTGATACTGGGTGCTATGGGATACTGAACTTTGTTATTAGCCGGTGTGGGAAGAAGTGTCACCTTCTGATATAGTGTGGGTTGACCTGTACCCTCCTTGGATGTCCCTGGAGTTTGGGCCTTCTGCATGGTTAGAGGAAGTTCACCTGTCGTAATAGTAGGTTGTGGAGTTACAGTAAGTACCACATGCAAAGGTGGAACTGTGACTTTGGACAGATTTGGCTGCTGAGCTTTAAACTCCTGCTGGGTTGCATCTAATTCTGTCTCCTTAGGGAAGTCTTGTGGGTTAGCTGGAACCTCCTGTCGCGTTGGGAAATATTTCACCTTCTGGAGATTTTTTGGAGGCTCACCGGGAAAAGATTCCACCTTTTCAGGGAGTTTTGAAGCCTGGGAAGGCTGGCTAACTTTCCCAATGGAAATTCTAAGCCTAACAGGGCTCTTCTGACTAACGGAAGGATAAACTTGGGAAGGGGCTTTTGAGCCTACGTTAAGTACAATATGCACAGATTTCTGTGTGGTTTGAGGCACGCTTAAAGGCTGACTTCTGAATAGTGGCGAATATGTTGTTGAAATAGCATCGTCAATATCCGGAAATGGCAATGCATATTCCTCTTGGGTTGGTTCAGCACCTGCTGTGAGTACTTGATGAGAACTTAAATTCTCTTGTTGGCTTGGAGAAGGTTCCTTAAGATTTTCTTCAGGCTGAACTGGGACCTCTTGAAGTGTAGGGTTTGGCTGCTGAGCTGCAACCACCTCCTCGTGTTTCGAAGACTCTGGCTGTGGGGGTGTTATTGAGGATTGAGCTGGGAGCTCCGCTTTGGTTAGGATTTGTACAGGTTTCGGAGTAACACTGTGCAGCACCGGAAGCTGAAGCTGATCATGAGCTGCGAAGGAAGTTGTTACCTTCTGGGGCTCCGGAGGTTGATCTAGAGTTTCACTGGGAATCTCCACAGCCTGAGTTTGGGTTTCTTGATGGCTTGTGGCTTCAGTCACAGCATTCTCAGGGCTCTGTAAATTTTCAACCGTTTCCTCCTCCTGCTGGGTCATTGGGGTTTTCTCACCTTGAATAATTTCTGGAGGTTGAATTGGTAATGGTTCAACCTCTTCCAGAGACTCTGGAGGCAGAGCTGGGGCCTGAGGTTGGTCTGCGGATGATTCTTTGTCCTTAGCCAGGACTGAGGGCTGAGTTGTGATGTCAGGGCCAGTTAGAGACATCCCCTCTCTTGCTGTAGGTTCTGCTGTTAGGGTAAGCACTATATCTGGAGGCTTAGTTGTTACGCTGGAAACGTATGAATGCTGAACTTGCGGTGAAATTGTTATTTCATGATGATCTAGAGGCTGGGCTGGAGCCGCTTTCTCCATCTCAGAAGATTTTGCCTCAGAAGTCTCAGAGGACTGAGCTGATTGGTCCTGGTGACTTCTATAAAGCTCGGTCTCCTGGGGAGGGACTAGAGTGTGAGCTGAGCCCTCATGCTTGTCTGCAGCAGACTGAGTCTCCACAAGAGACTCAGCGAAGTGAGCTATCTGTTCCTGTTCACTGGAAGAAGGTTCTGTCTCCACAGAGGAGGATCCTAGGGGCTGAGCTGGAGACTTATGCTGGAGTGGAGGAGGTTGACTCTCCACAAGAGACTCAGCATACTGAGCTATCTGGTCCTTTTCACTATTCGAAGGTTCTGTGTCCACAGAGGAGCTTGGGGTGAGCGAGAGGGATTCCTGCTGGAATGGAGACGCTTCCACCTCTGTTAAAGGGCCTGAAGGCTGATCTAGGGGTTCATCTGGGGCTAGAGCAGGTTCAGTCTCCACAGAAGGACCTTGGGTGGGAGTTCTGAGTTCCTGCCGGAAGGGAGAAGGTTCCGTCTCTGCAGAAGGGACAGCTGTCTGATCTTGGAGTTCTTCCTGGGTTGGAGAAGGTTGTGTCTCCAAATACGGGCTTGGAGTTTGATAAGGAGCCTCCTTCTGGGCTGAAGACGGTTCATTCTCCACAGGAGACTCAGCATACTGAATTGGCTGCTCCTGTTCTCTGAGAGAAACTTCTGTCTCCGCAGGAGGCCCTGGAGTCTGAGCGAAGCCCTGTAGCTGGGCTAGAGAAGGTGTACCCTCCTTGGTTGGCTCTGAAATTACAGTACCCTCCATATCTGTAGGCTTACCTGTAACGCTGGGCAAATTATAATGGTAAGCTTGATTCTGATTTAGAGACCAACCTGTCACCTCCTGAATCTGTGGAGTCTGAGCTGTCGGAGTCCTCGTGGGAGCTACTGGAGTTTGGGTCTCTTGTTGTACTAGAGACTTGACTTCCACGGGGGGTGTTGAGGGCTGCTCTAGGGCTTCTGCTTGGTTTCTAGAAGGTTCACTCTCCTGGGGAGAGTCAAAAGGTTGCTTGCTTTGATAATATTCAGTGTTCACAGATAGGTCTGGGAACGGAGTGGGGGCCTCCTTCTGTGCAGTAGATGGGTTGCCCATTATAGCGTACTCGGAAGCTTGTGCTGGGGCATCTTGTTGCATTGAGGAAGGCTCATTCTCCACAGAGAGCTCTGAAGTCTGAGTTAGACCCTCTTGACTTAAAGATTCCACCTCCTCAGGGAGCCCTGGAGTCTGCACCGGGGGGTCTTGTTGGGTCGAGGTAAGTCCTACTTCCTTGGGTTGCTGTAGGGGCAGAGCCTGGGCCTGATCCTTGTTTGGGATGGGTTGAACTTTCTTAACTGCCTCTGACGTTGCTGTGAGCTCCGTTTCTGCAGGTGTGGCAATGGATGAGTTTGAGTAGAAGGCTTCATTCTGAGGTAGAGATGGGGTATTCACCTCAGGGTACCCTGATTGGCCTCCGACTTCTTCAGTCGCAAATTGAGGTTGCATAGGTCTCTCCTGCTGTGTTGGAGATGCTTCTGTCTCAGATGGCTGTAGCTCTGAAACTGGCATCAGATGGTGGGTTGAAGGAGGTTCATCCTTTTCCAGCGGCTGTGGAGATGGAGCTTGGGCCTCTGGCTGTGGTGGAGAGGACTGGATGGCTTCATAATTGTCTGGACTTGGAGTTTGACCCTCTGCTTGGACTTGACCTCCCTCTGGCTGTGGTGGAGAGGACTGGATGGCTTCATAATTGTCTGGACTTGGAGTTTGACCCTCTGCTTGGACTTGACCTCCCTCTGGCTGTGGTGGAGAGGACTGGATGGCTTCATAATTGTCTGGACTTGGAGTTTGACCCTCTGCTTGGACTTGACCTCCCTCTGGCTGTGGTGGAGAGGACTGGATGGCTTCGTAATTGTCTGGACGTGGAGTTTGGCCCTCTGCTTGGACTTGAGATGGTTCAATTTGCTCGGAGGGCTGTGAGGGTGTAGCTTGGCTCTCCTGCAATTCCAGAGGGAAGCTGTCAGGATACTCGGAATAATCAATGTCGTTCTGCACAATTTGATTTTGAAGCTGGAGTTTTTCAGGTTTGTCTGGAGTTTGAGTACCATCCTTAGGAAGTCGTCGATGCCGGGCTAGATTATTTTTTAGGCTCAGAGGTGAAACGATAAACTTGTTTGAGTTCTGACTGTCTAGAGGTGGAAGTGACTGGTGCCTCTTTCTTTCCAGTCGAAGAGGCAAAGCTAGGGCCTGACTCTGATCCCCATCTGGCATTGGGGTCACCTCTGACAGCCTTTGTTGCCGAGTAAGCTTGTTGCGAACGGTAAGCTGATCTGGCTCTGGTGGAAGC